GGCCCTCTGTGGAGCTTTAGTCCTGCAGACTGGAGGGGCCCATGATGTTTTCAGACACTTTTGCCTGGAATAGAGCTTCTGCAACAAGGGGCTGGGGAATCCTAGAAAGGGTCCGTAGCCTGGCGCTCACGAAGGAAGACTATAGCCCCAGACAGGGAGTCAAGTGAAGGGGGAAATCTCCCTCTACTTGGCCACAGCTGCCCAGAATGAAAGGCCCAGGATAGAACTTCCAGAACTTGGAACTATGGGGAATCTACTGGGTATTTATCAGCTTTTCTTTGCTATGACTAAAATACCTGAAACTACCAAGGAGGAATTATTTATTTTGGCTCATGGTTTCAGACCTTTCAATTCATGGTCACCGACTCCATTGCTCTGGGTGTGAGGTATTGCTGAACATCATGGTAGAAGGTTTGGTGAAGGAAAGCGGGGGTGGTGTGGGGGGTGGTGGAGGGGAGGGAGAAAGAGGCAGGCCAGAGACAAGATATAGTTCCCAAGGGCATGCTACTGGTCACCTATTTCTCCAGCCATGCCCCACCTGCCTACAGCTACCAACCAGTTGTCCATTCAAATTATCAACCCACCAAATGGATTAATCCACCCATGAGGTGTTATGGTTTGGATCTTTAATGTCCCCCAAAAGCTCATGTGTTAGGTGAAATTCTAGTAATTTCAGAGGTGAAATTACTAGATTACAACTGCTATAACCTCATTCGTGAATTAACCCACTTTATTGAGTTAATAATTCAAAGGGACTATTGGGTGGAAACCATAGGCAGATAGGGCATGGCTGGAGGAATTAGCCACTGAGGACAAGGATAAGGGTCTCCTGAAAAACGTTGAAGTTTCCACAAATAAAATTTTCCCCAATTTTTGAGTCGTATGTATCTGAAAAATCTTGGACTGCATTGAAACAACGTTGTAAAATGATAACTTTAAATTTCAAATTTAAGAAATAATTTTATTATGTCTCTATAATCCTCCAATAAGTTTTTCTGTCAGCAATTTTAAAAGCTTTTGTGGTCCTTCAGACATTCTTAGGCAAATCACCTGTTCTGTCTGTGAATCGCATTAAACCCAGGTGGGGGTGGAGGACAAATTTCTTAATGATCCCAAACTCTGTCTTCCAACTGTTTCCCACACATCACAATTTCAGTTTCTCAATCTGTACACACCTTCACAATTTCTCTGCATTTGTGTTTTGCCTGCACTTCACTTATTCACATAATATTCTTCTAAGACATTTTGAAGTATCTTTTTTTTTTTTTTTTTTTTTAAGGGCTGATAGCTCCAGTACCAAAATAAATGAAGTAATTTTGTTTTTAATTTTGGTGGTGCTGGGGATTGAATCCAGGCTCTCAAGCATGCTTGGCAGGAGCACTACCACTGATTTACACCCCTGGGGCCCAGGATCAGTGTTTAGAATGACATTCATTTTATTCAAAAACATTTTTTTTTTGCATAAAAAAGCACTTCTTTCCTGAAGGAACTTATAAATATTCAAACCAGGTTCTGCGTGGGTGAATTTTCTCCTGCTGCTCAACCCAGATAACTTCCAAAGGTCATCTGCTCTCAGAGCCCTCCAATCCCACCGTGCCATAGGCCTTCCTTTGCAAAGCAGGTGCAAGTCCCAGCAGGTGATGACTTTCTTCACTTCCTGTCCCACTATAGCAGTCATGTGCAAGTAGCCCTGTGCAGCAAGAATCAGCAGAGGAGCAATTTCTGTGTGTTAGGTGTGCTAGATTCGAAGTTCACGAAACGTGGGACCTACTTCAAAAAACTCACCAGTTGGAGGAAATAGCCTTGGGAGGGAACAATGTATGTGATAAATAATGTACTTCTAATTGTCAACGCTGATGCCTGCTTTTTTGTGTGACCTGCTCAGCAAGTTTAAAAAACTTAAAAAACTTCCCCATTTAAAAAAAAAAAAAAAAAAGAGGACCAAATGGATGATGTATGCTCCCACTGTGCTGTCTCCCGACAGGAGGGGACAGCAGTGGCACTGAGCTTTAGCTGTGAGGGGAGCAGCTCCACAGGCACCACACTTCCCGTTACACTCCCCTTGGAGATTTTACCAAATGGTTTCCACTTTTCCACAGGGAGAGGATTGTTTGAATTCAGGGCAGCTGGGGTGGCCTCACTTTTTTTTTTTCAGAAACCATGTGACAAGGCCCTCCTGGTCCAAGGGGGTCCCTTCTTTCCTTGTGCCCAACGTCTTAGCATCTCAGGTCAGGGCTTGTCTGGTCTGGTCCTCTCCCCAGAAGCTGTGTCTCTGTAAGAAACAGCCACATTGTTTTTATCTCCATACCTGCTGTCTGCGCTTTTGAAAAGTACAGCAGGAATGGAGCAGCAGTCTGGCCCCCTGAAGGCCTCCCGTCTCCCTGCCAGAGGCCCCAGGGCAGGACTTAGAAGGCTGTGGCAGAACTCCTGCTAAGAGCCCTTGAAAGGCAGATCAGGGAAGGGGAACTTCCAGACCTATCATGAATTCATCAGCTTTGATTTATAAATATAATGGCTCACTGAAAAGAGGATCTGGTTTAGAGGCAGTGCCGGTGTAGGGGACAGGGGTCAAGCTCAGACAGCATGCTGGCCTCGTATGTCTGAGGCCCTGGGTTCCACCTCCAGCCCCAGGAGACGGCCAGTGTTCCAGACTCAGAGTTTTAGAACAGGGACTGAGTCATCCCCTCAGGGATTCAGTCCTCCCCAGATAGAAGACAGCTGCCAACCCCCATGGCTCAAATTTAAGCACCAAACATATAAAATAGCTACTCCTTAACCGATAAAATTAAAAGCAAAAGCAGAAATAACTAAACTCTGGGAATATCATTGCTTCACCATTTCTTTGTATTTTTATTGAGTTTTTTTTTTTTATTTCTGCCCAAATACCACAGTGAACTGAGAAACCACAATTACAATTCACAGACTGTGGCATGAAAAACATCACACACTCCATCAGGAATCACATCAAACCCTTTCCTCTTTATTCATTCAAAAGAGAGTCCAATGCACAAGTGTCAAATATGAGCACTGTCATTTTTTTTTTCTTTTCTTAGAAGGGGAAAAACATTTATTCTGGCAGCACTTTTACAATTCCAGGAAGTGGCTTTGATACCACAAGTTGCAGGAATAGAAACCATAACAAACTTGGAGGGCATTTCTTTGAGAGGCAAGGGACGCCGTGGTTGGAAAAAAAATTCTTCTTGTGCTTAGTGAATTGCCTGTCAGCCTCGGCGGGCCGCTAAAATCTTCCTGGGTGTTGAAAGAGAAAACGGAATTTCCTACATAGACACTGGAAAACTCCTGTAGAGCAAGAGTGTTTTCTGTATCTCCAACCCTCCCCCCCTCCCCAGGCTGAAGCAAGTTCTCAACGCTTTGCTTTTTCTGGAGCTTCTTGTGGTCACATGACCCTCTTATCATGTGGACCTTTTGGCCAAAACACACGTGGCAGCAAGGTTTCCTCTTACACTGCTTCTCTAGGGTTCAGATGACAGCACAAAACATGACTGGTCAAAAAAGAGCAGATATTAAGAACATGGGCATTTATGTTCGTGAAAATAGCAAACACTTTTTCAGAGTATGTCACCCGAAGGGGCATGATTTCCATTTATATGGCCCTAAGGGGAGTTGGCCCAAAGTCATATGCTTGGGAGTCTCTTTCAAAGGACTGGTCAAGTCGGTTGATTGGACAGTGTAAGTACTGTCACATGCCAATTAAAAAAAAAAAACCTATTGCCCAACAATTCAATGGTCCATAAAGCAATTAAATGTTACCATTCAGTTTTACACACACACACACACACACACACACACACACACACACAGGAGAACTGTGACAAAAGGATTAACCAGATTAGTCTCATGATTCTGTTCTAAAAGGAAAATGAAATCTCCAACTTGAAGTGTCATATATTCAAGTATTTTAAAAAAATGTAAAAACAATCTGATCCCACTCTTGATTTTAAGATGATAAGGAAATCATAACCAGGGCTTCTGGAGTCAGTGAAGTTAACTCCTGGGGCACAAAATATTTTATAAAAATTGATTTGTGAGGTCATGAAATGCAGCCCACTTGTTCATTCTTTCTTTTGAACATGTGGAGACCACTGTGGCATTCCAAAAGTCAGTGCTTTCTAAACAAAGTGGAAGAGTAACACCAGCTGACTCACTCTTCTGTCTGACACTGGTGAGAAACAGTTTTGCACATTTTCTATCAACACGTGCAGGAGGCAGATGTAAACAGAGTCCTTTACATTCTTCAAAGAATGTGCTACTACTGCAGCATGTGCTGTTTGGCCCCAATTAGGAGGAGGCTAGAGAGCAACTTGTAGGGTTTGCTTTTTAAGTTTTACCTCCTGGAGATTTCAAAACAAGCGTTTTACTAGTTCTTGGCAGTAGATTGTCCTACAAGAGGCCCTGTATGAATAGCCAGTGTGGGATTATGTTCCCCAGCTAGGAAGCTCACTACCTGAAGTTCCCACAGACCAGATGTGGAGGGCTCACCAAGTGCTCTGCTAAATTCTGGACCTGTTCTAGAAAGGAGAGGTAATAATTAGCAGAGCCCCTTGCATGATTCAAAACAGACTCCCGATGATCTTAAGCTGCACTAACTGAGGTTTTCCATGAACTCTTTGTTCCAGAAGAGGGCCCCGTCTCTGCCTCAATACTAATGATATGTGGGTAAGGAACAGGAATGCTTCTGCCACCATGCCCAGTGACTTACAGGCAGGGACCTTGGATAAAGATGGGAAGGGACACTGCCTGATATGCATGTTGAAGGATCCTGTGGATGACTGGCAATCTACGAAGCAACACTAGATCCGTGGGCTAACAGATACACAGACATCTTTTTTCTTTTCTTTTTTTAATTTTGGGAGGGGGTTTAAGGATTAAGGAAAGGACCAAAAAATAATGTCTTATACTAAAATAAGAAATCAGCCCCATCTTGGCACAGTTCTCATGCAAAATATTGCACCCAGTGTTAACTAACGCTAGAAGCTTCAAACGGTATAAATTTAAATGTATTTGCATATTATAAAAATAAAGATAAACATATACATATTTTACACTAGTTACGGAACAGCAATGAATGTCAGTTGATTCCTCTTTCACATTGAACAGAACTGAAACCCGAGTGCTCTAAATACTGCCACTGTACTGTAACTATGGCTTATATGTGCACGGAAAACAAAATCCCTGAGAAGCCATTCGACTTATTTTTTTTTTCTTTTCTTCAAGTAGCGCTCTCCTTGGAGGATCACAGTTCTGAGGTTCCGGTTGTGAAACTTTAGCTCCATGCTCTCTCTGTCCTTCCTCCGCCCCCTCCAGACCTCTGCGGTGGTCCTCTGGAAGCACCCTGAGCTGGTCTTCACTCCAGTGCCCAGCCTGTGCTTGGAGGTGCAGAGGGTTCCCAGGTGAGTGGTGATGCTCTATTTTCTCCATGGAAATCCCACAGTCCACAAGTCACTGGTTTCTGTGCTTTTCACCAACGTTCTTCCTAAATGGGTGTAGGAGAGGAGAGTACAAAAATGACGACAGTGAACCAACAGTGACAGTCTGACTGATAAGAAATGAAGAGTGACGATCGACACAGATTCATTTTCTGCATGGGTTTTCATCTCTACTTCTCTGACTCCTTATAAACATGTAGAGGTCAGGCCACTACCATCCTCACGGAGGGAAGCTGTTTTAGCAGTAAACCAGTCAAATATTTCTGTTTGTGATGTTAGTCTCAGGGAGTGATGCTAATTGGCCACAACACTTATTCCATTGTAAATTTTATAGCATAACTAGATTTTTAATTTGCAACCCAAATTCTAATCAGAAAACTGCTTCCTTTCAACACATGCACACATGTGGACCCAGGTTACACAACACTCCAGGAGGGGAAATATATGCCAACAAGCGAGAATGGATGCCTCTCTGGGTCTAAAAAGCGTGATTTGAGGTAGTGTTATAAGCAAGGTTGTTGACTCAGACCTAGAGTTTGATGCGCACTGAAGAATCCGCTGCATCTCAACAGATGAGACACAGCGGCATTCAAGTCAAACCAAATAGCTACAGGAAACGAACATCAAAATCCCCATCCTTTATTTCAGCTCTCCTACAATGACATGGGACAGCGTGTTTTAAAAGCATTTTAGCACCATTTAAGAAACCATACAAGGACAAGGAAAGGAAAGGAAAAAGGGGTACGATTTCTGTCCCTCATCCCATCTCTACATGCTTCCTGAGTTCACAGACACTGATAATTCAGTGTCCACCTAAGACACCCTTCCATCCCAAGTAAGAATCAGCTTGGTCAAGCTTAATGAAAACATCACCAAAAGTAAATTTCTTCCATTTGCTAATTCCATGCAGGGAACCCTTCCTTTCACTGTAGCATATGATTTGATTAATTCTCACCTACTGACAATCCCACCAGGTTAGCTAAATCTTACTCTGCACTTGACTGAGAGGGAAGCTAAGTCCAAGAGGTTAAATTACTTCCTGAAGGGAGTTGAAACCACTAGTGAGGGCAGAGCCAGGCTTTTAACCAGGGTCACGTGAGTCCAAAGCATGCTTGAGGAATACAAGGCAGGTTGGCTCTTTGAGATCCTCAGGATAGTTTCACATTTCTGTGGCCCCCAACTATGAGAAGGCCTATTAATACAGTCAACTCCCAGTAGAGAAGCTTTTGAAACTGTCTCAAATTCAAGCAATAATAATATGACTGATCTAACTGTAAAGAGGATGGTAGTGTGAAAACATCCCAACCAGGCAGTTGGCTTTGGTGCTATGATTTGGGGTTCATATGGGTGATGGGCTACATAACAATTTTTTTTTCCACTGAATCTAATGAACCTTTGGAAATGCAGCCAGTTGGGTCTGGCTGGCTACTCCCTTGAGCCACGCCTAAGACTGAGAAATGCAAGAATTCCTAATCCAGGGCACCTGAGAGGGGATATCCCACTGTTTACCGTTTTCAGCAGTTTTCCACATCACTACCACTTTTTACTTTTGAATTCTTAGGGAAAAAAGCCATCAAATCTCCAACCCTCTCTATTCCTCAATAAACTCGTCCTTCAACATCCACCTCAAATACTACTTCCTGGGACTTTTCCTGATTCCTCCTGGTGGAGTTCTTTCTTTTGAGTGCTCCCCAGACTCTGTTCACACACCTGTCATGGCAGGCATCCTATTTTAATAGCAATTCAACACTCACAAATTTGTCTGCTTATTTCTTTGATTCTCGTTCTATAAAAAAGTCTCGAGGGCAGGGTCTGACTTGGCTGTTTCTGCATCCTCAAAGTTGTGCAGGGAAACAAATAGCTGATTAGAGTTAGAAGGCTTCCCAGAGACAAAACATGGCCATAAGGACAACAGACCTTCCCTGGGTAGAAGGGAAAGGTGGCAGCCTGTTGAGGGATGGCAGCCACCAGGGGGCGCTGTGGTTGACGCCCTCCATAGTAAGGGAGCATCTCTGGGTCAGCAGAGTGTCTGGGGGTCTGTGAAGGGCCTTGTGGGATATGCCCAGAATTTTGAACTTGAACCTGTAATAACCAGGAAGACATCTAAAGTTTATGGAGAAAAGAGCAAAACGATTAGAGGGTAGCAGGCCAAGAGACACCCCATCACAGGGATCTCGGCAGAAACAGGGGAGTCTAGAGGAAAGCACGATGCTGAAAAGAAAGGTACACGGCCAAGTTCACGCATGTCAAGGCACACTGCTAAGAGGGGACAACAGGTCTTGGTGATAGACCATGCATGGGGAATAGAGGGCAGGAAGGCATTGAATCTGACAAATTCCTAGGCTGGGAAGATGGTCACAACGCTCTGCCACTACCTGTGACAGAAAACACAGACAGATGAAGATCTCCGAGAGAGAAAGACAACCAATTCAGTCCTCCACCTGTGCAGCCTATAGGACGTCCGGGGGAGCTGCCAGGTGGGACACTGGAGACCGAGGTGTGAAATTGAAGGGAGGGCTCAGCCTGGGGGTTCCCAGGTTATCGAACCTGACACTCCCAGGATGGAAGAAAGAAATTTTGACTCAAGGTACTTAAACACTTAGGCTAAAAATGAAGCCATAACGTTTTGTACTAATCATGTCTCCTATTTCTATGTTCTGATGCTTTGACATCTGGGGCCTTGCTGACCCTGGAGGAACTGGCCCTCCCAGAAGGAGCCAGGTCCTAAAAAGAGAAGACAACTCAGCCGTCAGTGTACCTTGCACATACAAACTAACCAGTCCAGAGCCCAGAGCCCAGAGCCCAGCCACCTCCTTTATTGGCTCTCACACTCTGGGTCACCATCCACCTGCTCTAATCACCCCAGGGCCAAATGCCAGACATCTAAGGACAGCCCTTCACCTGAGAACACTGGAATAATTTAAATGGGCCAACCTCAAGCTTTCTTTCACTGCCTCACTTGCCCTTTCTTATGGAAACCACAATAAAGGCTTTGCCCATGTTCTTCCCTCTTTCTCTGCCTCATGATCAACCCCAGTACTTCCTTCCCTAGGTAGCCTCCCATCACCAAGGTGTGACATGCCCCCTTCTCCTGGAGATTGTGAATATTAAAACATCTTTTCAATGGAAGTTGTCTGCTGATCTGTTTGCCTTACTGTACTTTAAATCTTCTATGAATATACTATATTTTTAAATATACATGCAAATGAGAGCCTCCAGCACTGTGAAAACTGTCCCAAAGCTGGGAGCCAAGACACAGATCGCAGATGCATGGTGCATTCAGTAACTGCAACTGTGGGCAAATGGCTCTGCCTGGATTCTACACTCTGTCCTTTGTGACTTACCTGGTTGTTAGCAGGATCCAATGACTCAGGGCTTTTTTTTTTTTATTTTATTTTTTTCATCTGAGGCATTTATACAGATACTCTTGGCATTTGTGACTACAATAAGAAAGAAAAGTCAACTCTCCTTTCCTCTCTATTCTATGGAGGGAGGTTGGCGTACTGAGGTTTACGTCAGGTACTTTATAAACAGATCTTTGTGCACTTTGTGCACCTGTGCTGGTGGTAGAGGAGAAGGGAAGCCAATGGCTTACCTACCTAACCAGCTTACACATTTACCTTCCTTGAGTAGGTAGCTCAACTAATAAGCTGCTAGGTAAGTTGGAAGGTAGATTTTTGCCACAGCATCTACATCTTCAGAGGAATTTTGTTTTTATTTTTTACCCATATATATTCTATCAATTTATATTCCTAGTAGAAAAGACCATAGCTGAATGTATGGAGCGTTTGTGCACTCTGGGGGTAACTAGATAAAATGCTTCATCTGCAACAGTCTGTGCATATGAAACAACTTCATGAGATAAGTACTTCTATTATCTATATTTTACAGACATTTAGGGTCATAGCATTAATAAATAGTAAAGACCCAAACTTGGGAAGTGTAAAACAACCTTAAGAAAAGAAATATAAACACTTATTTTTAAAAAGCTACATGCTGCATTAACCAACCTCGGCTTTTCCTGATGTTATATTCTGGCATAAACACAGAATATATGTGTGGTACTGGGAAACAAACCCAGGGCCTCTTTGCATGCTAAACAAGTACTCTACCTTTGGGCTATATCATCAGCCCTTTTAATTTTATTTTGATACATGGTCTTACTAAATTGCCCAGGCTGGCTGCTGAGGGCCATTGCCAAGTAGGAATGACGCATCAAAATTTCCTTACCAGCGTACCTCATGTTGCTTAGAGGAAGGACTCGTGGAAATGGACTTGCCTTGGACATTCGTTGTGACATTGCATGTATGTTTGAGAAAGGTGACCCTGCTCAAGGACCAGGGTGGATCCAGGTTTAGGGTGTATCCTGCAGGTTTTAGGAAGTATCCCGGTTTAGGACAATCTGGGTTTAGGGCGGTTCCAGGTTTAAGGTTATTCCTGCTGGGAATAGGGCGTATCTTGCTGCCTGAGTTCCCGTTGAGTTCTCGTGGAATTGAGAAAGCATTTGGGATTAAAAGCCTGGTGGAGTACGTGAATTTGGCGGGCAGAACTTGGATTTCCCCAGAATGTGTGTAGAGGCCGGTGTGAGTTCGGGAATAAAGAATTGCTGTTTGAATCTACAAATCTGTGAGTGGCTCATGATCTTGTGCCCAGCCAGACTGCGGCAGCTGGCCTTGAACTTGTGATCTTCCTGCCTCAGTCTTCTGAGTAGCTGGAATTATAGGTGTGGGTCACTGTGCCCGGCACGGTGTAAATATTTTAAAAATTACTTTTTTTTCCTATCAAGTATCTAAAATTATGGACTCATGAAATATTATAGTAAATTAAACAAAAGAATCAAGTGGTTTCTTATTCCTAATTTCCAAATGTGAGCGGATTCTGGACAAGTAAAAAATTAGCTACCCTAGGATGCCCTGCTCTGTGGAATCTCTTCATCCCCAGCCCCCCCTCACCCCATAAAGTTCTCCAGGTCTTCAGGAGGGTCTTACCTATTCAAGACACTCTCTGCACTTCCCACAGACTTACCCTTAATACTTGGTGCTCCTAAAGTCACAGATTGGGTACAGTAAAAATGATGGCATAAGGGAAAGAAGCACTATCTTTTCCACTTAATTTTCCAAGAAAGTATGAAGGTACCTAAGCAGAGAGGGGAAAAATTCCAGTATCAATGTGGCTGATGGGAGACTAAAGGATTGAAGAAACATAATTTCTCCTAGCTTGGAAGAGCAGCCAGGCAATGAGCTGTTACTCCTTGCACAGGATAAAACAAATCAATGCAAACCAATGTGACCACTCCACAGGCAACATCCACACTTAGCCTTTTCCTCCAAAACACCAGGCCATCCCCACCTTCCATGTCTTAAAATTCTGTGGTCCCTGAGAAATTCTCCATTGTGATCAAGCCAAATTCATCTTGTGCCATTGTTTTTTTTAGAATAGGTCATCAAGCCCATGCTAACTAATCTCAGTGCACTAAGGCATTCTTTGCCCTTTTATTTGGTGAGAATAAAGATCACAGTCTTCATTCTATTTGTTATAAAAGCCTATTTCAGTTGGCCTTAAATATCCTTTTTCATAACAAAGTCATTGCAAAAATTCCTGTGCAAAGTAATCAGTGTACTTTTGAGAACACTTAGAAGCAGCAAGTCACTGGAATTTAGTGGGGCTGTTGCTCGAGTGAGAATTCTACTGTACATAGGCAAGAGTCCAAGTTTTTAAAAAGGGGCTTTGAAATGCGGTATATCAGCCTTGCCCTCTATTGTTATGAGTACTTTCTGGAAAAGGAGAAAGCTTGGCCTAGCAATTTCCAAAACAGCCCATTTTCACTAATTCTATAACATAGGACCCACCAAAATCAGAATTAACAGCCTTCTTCACTCTCTACAAACTCCCGCCACTCCCCAGATGATGGAAAGCACAGACGTAGTGCCACTAGAAGAGAAAGGTCAACTGTCAGGAAATGAAAATGATACATCCCCACTTCCTGTATGTTCAAGGGTCAGTCCATTAAGAAACCACATGGAAGAATGTGGGTTGAGTGCCAGCATGCCTCAAGGTAAAATGTTTTCACTTGCTAACCTGTTTAATTCTGTCTTTTGCACAGAAACCATCCCTTCAATTTGATTACCAGGCAGTTTGTCACAGAGTTCGTACAGTTCATTTGGTGGAGCAGGACATTGCTCTGAACTTCTTTGGAAAGAAAAAGAGAGACACTCTGCAGAATACCTACAAATGACATACCACTGGCAAGCTGCCATTTACCCAAAGAAGCTCATGTTCCCTGTGAGCTAGAATATTAAGTGTCTCAACCTGGGAGCAACTGGATGGAGACAGGCATTCACAAATAAAAAATGTAAAAATATTCTCTTTCTCCTTTCCCCACTGAGAGTACTCGTCAGCCCTCCCTGTTCTTGAGTTCTGTATCCTTGGATTCAACCAACTGCAGGCTGAAAATGTTTGGAGGTGGTAGGGTACTGCATGTGTATGGAACCTGCCCTCATCATGATCCCCTAAACTATACAGTTTAGCAACTATTCATACAGCGTTTGCATCATATTGTAAGTAATCTAGAGATAATTTATAGGTATGGGAAATACGTATAGTATAGTTATATGTAGGTATTCATAGTATTATTTTTTTTATAGAAAGGACTTGAGCATCTGCACATTCTGGTGTCCGCAGGGGTGGAGTGGGGGTTCTGTAAACAATCCTCTGATGGATACCATAGGGCGAGTGCTTACTTGTGCCCCTTGCAACTCTTAAGGTCCAAGACTCAGCATCCCTTGAATATCGAGGGGTCAACTGGGCTGCCGCCAAGAAGCCCTGAAGGAGGGTCATCTCCTTTCATGCAGCTCCAACTTCATTTCATCCTTCCTTCATCCAAGAAACCAGGGACTGGCAGTGGGGGTACAAATTCAACTCATTACCATGGGAACTGAACTGTGCCTGGGATAACATGTTTTTCTGGGAACTTCTTTAAAACTCAGAAATCTGTTGCACTCTAACACACTAGGCAGCCGAATCACTAAAAAATATCAATGGATCGCATGGGACACTAGGTGATGTATTAGGCACAAGATTTCTTTCTGATGAAGATAGACTGATAGACTGCATGACTCTTTAAATACACTGATAGTCATTAGTGGGTGAGTTTTATGGTATACAAATTATACTACAGCTTAAAAATATGCAACTCATACAAATTTTGTCCTCGACGTAGCGGGCATTTCTTAGAGCAACTCAGGCGAATTTGCTACAAGATGCAATGTTCATCTCCTGTCAAATGCATATGTCCTTAAAAATCATGATCTCCAAAGTATGGAAAATGACTCATGTTTCTGTTTGATCATCAGCAAAGAGGACAAGAAGCCACTTAGTTCCCATTTCTTCCCGGAGGGCCAGGTGTGGGAAGGGAGGCACTTTATTTCGTTCCTGAGACCTCTTCTCAATAGAATGATGGTAGACACCTCAGCCACCAACCACTGAGACAAGCCACAAGAGTAAATCACGTTTTAAAAAAAATGACTCCTGATTCTGTGCCTCTCCCCATGAGGGAATAAAACATGTAGAAAAATTTTAAGTGAGAAATAAAAAAGCTTGGGATACATAAGGAAGACTCATGGTAGAGCTCTTGCCTAGCACCCGTGAGACCCTGGGTTCAATCCCAGTACTGCAAATAAACAAAACCAAAAGCTCATAAGGAGGCCCAATTAACAGCCATGGATCTTTTTTTCTTCATAAACTGCACTGTACCACCACTTTTATTCATTTAGTCAGAGGCAGGTAGTTAAATGACAAGTGTCTGATCTCATCTATAAAAGAAAGGAGTCAACTCAACTGAGAAAGGTTTGCCATGTCTTTTTTAAAGCCAAGTAAGATCTAGATCAACAAGAGACAGGGTCTCACTGAGTGGCTTAGTGCCTTGCTTTTGCTGAGGCTGGCTTTGAACTCATGATCTTCCTGCCTCAGCCTCCTGAGCCGATGGGATCACAGGCGTGTGCCACCACGCCTGGCCATCCTTTCTTAATGTGAACTATAAATGATGTGTTCACCCTACCTAAAAGCAGAAGGGGCTGTGACAGGCTGACAGCAATGCAGCACCCCTCCGTTCCATCTTTGTGCTGCCCATTGGACATGGACAAGAAAAAGGTCCCAACAGACAAAGGAGACCTCACTGGCTGGGAGCCCACCCTTAGGTGCAGAAGGGATCCAAGAGACCAGGATACCCAACCCACACACATAAATCACCTGAGAGACTTCTGTGTTTTTAAGACTCACACCTGGTCCCTTCCCCTAGAAATTCCGATACCTATGCCTGATGAAAAAAGTTCCGTTTTGTCAGTCTACCTACATTTTGTGGGATAACAGAAAGTAGAAGATTGCTCTAGTGATCAACAGCCTCAGTCTCCCAATTTCTAGTGCCTGCCAGGACTCCAAATCTCAGGCTCATCACCAGGCCACATTGACTTAATGACTACCTCCTTTGACAGCTATCCTCATAGATCCCCCCAATCTCCTGCTCCAGCACACTGTCACCCCCATGTGCTTTTAGACCTTCCCCTGGGCATGGCCTGCCTCCGTGTATGCTTTTGTATTCATGGATGAGCTGTGGATGCTTAAAGAGTATGGGGTGTAAAATAGGACGGCACAAGCAGGGACTTCAAATCTAAGCATATTTTTCATGTATATGGTCATGCAGTTTCTCCTCACCTCCATGCTAAAAACGAAGTCCTGCCAGAGAAGCAAAACTTTCCTATTTAAAGAATACCCCTTCATTTAGAGTTGAAAAACTGCCATCTGTTTTATGAGACATTTTTTTTTTTTACCTGTTTCAAAATAGAGCGATTCAGATTGCTAGGTCAAAAGTGGTTCGATCTCTAATGATGCTCCCTCCAGCAAGGAGAGAGGTCAGAGTCCTCTCTCTGATTGCCCAAGATTTTAAAGCTGCTAGTTCATTTAGGTTCAATAAGCTGTCAGAGGGAAAGGCTGATAACATTTTTTTTTTCCAGGCTGGTGTAAATGCAGTCTTTCTGTGGCAGGACAAGAAGCCCATGGGAAAACACTGATAACGCTGGCTGGGTGCCAGTACAGCTTCCTTGTGCAAATGGATATCATAACTCCTACCTCTACCTCACCTATTAAATGGCATGCATCTTCGGCAAAACAATAGATTAATGTCTCTCTTGTCTCTCTTGGGAAATTTATGCCAATGGTAAGTGTATTGAATAACTGTTTCCCTGTATTCCCAAACCTGCTGGTTCTAAAATACCCCCTCATCCTGACCCTAGATGAATCAGAAAAAAAAAAAAAAAAAAGAGGGGGGGATCAATATACACGAGTTCAAAAAACAAATTCAAAAAAACATGAAAAAGTTTCTGCATGTTGGTATGTTCAGGACAGGGGATAATAGGAACTTGCTAAGTAATCCTCCTTTAATATTTAGGAAGCACGTCAAGATTTCAGTGTGGTTAGGGTCACATCAGTGATGAAATATACTAGGCACATGTTAGATTAAATAGGATTATGAATATAGCATTAGATAAGAGCTTCCCCTCAGTGATATTTCGCAGCAAAGATGGATTAGGGATGTTCTGTCAAGTAAGTTGCTCCATTTGGAGAAAAGGGGGCCTCACACCTCCACGGCAGCTGCTAATGTGTGACAATGCCACTGGGAGAGCCTGGCGGTGCAGAGAGCACCACAAAAGCTCCTGAAAACCAGAGAAATGAAAAGCTGGGCTGCAATGGTGCACAAGGAGTCAAAATGCATTCTGCTGTCATAGGCCCCTAATTAGAATAAATAAATAAATAACATATTTGGGCAGAAAAAAAAAAAAAAGCTCCTAAAAGACCTGCCACTTTGGGGACAAGGTTTGGCTCCTACCACACAGAGCTCTGGCATATGGCTGGATAGGAAATTTCCCAAGATGAGATTAAAAGTCACAATTCTCAACAGCAAAATTTCCAGCTTCCCTCAAAAAAATAGAAAACTTAAGTAGAAAAAAATAATTCTATATGGCTGACCAAGCAGAAAAATTAAAAGTCTGCTGCATGCCTATGAGTCATGTTGCCGATATCACCCGGATAATGAGATGTGACCAAGAAGATCTGTGGCTGCTTTTTCAAGGTAGGAGGTACATGGACATATCATCTCAGTTTGAAAACAGCCTTCTTGGTTCCTAGTGTTACAAAAACAAGAATATAAGTTAAAAACCCAAACAGGGTGGGTTTCATCTAAAATGCCAAGCTCACATTCTACCCAATAATTAGTGTGCATGGGTGCATTCTGTCTTTAAGTCCTTTTGGGGAGAAGGGTGGTGGCAAGCTGCACAGTCCTTGATTTTCAGGGATGGACTAGAAATGCAGAGCCCCACAGCAAAAAAGAATCTATTATAGGCTTTTCTTACTTAATGGTCCCTCACTGGGTTCTAAAGTAAGAACCACTTAATTCTGCAATGTCAGAGTTAAGAACTCACTTGGGACACTTTTGGGGTTCCGGCAGAACCTAACAACCTTTCAACAAAGCTATGCACAAATGATCTGGGGGCAAATGTTCTTTTGATTACACATACTGGCAAATACACTAAAACCCAACAAACGGAACATTTCATTTTATAATTTGGGAGGCGGGCACTGAGGATTTAACCTAAGGGTACTTTACCACTGAACGATATCTCTAGTCCTTTTCATTTCTTTAGAGACTGGGTTTCACTGAGTTGCTGAGGTTGGCCTCAAACTGAGTCCCTAAGAATACAGGCATGAGACATGGTGCCCAGCTAAATTGGGCATTTGAAAATGAGCAAACTGTGTGGCTTGTTTGTGATAGCTCAATGAAGCTGTTAAAAGATGCTTCTAAATTTATCAGTGAAAGTAAAAAAATGGCAATAGCATGCTGCGTAAGCCACGGTGTTGACATCACTCAGAAGAATCGCATCTTCCTGCAGGGACTTCTCAGGATATTCGTGCAGATGCGGTTTCACTTAGGTTTTGGTTATCACATCTACAGAGTCAGGATCAGGAGTGAGGAGCGGGGGCCAGGGGGGCTTTCCAAACTCACTTGGAACAGGGGCTGATCACAGTCGGCGTAGGTGGGTAAACCAAGGCAACATTCACTCGCTCGCTGCCGTTCTTGGGGCAAATGATTTCTGCCACTCCTTCTGGTCTGGGCTGGCTCAGCAATTCCCCTGCAGGAGAAGAGGAAGATGCATTAAGAAGAGGTGCCCCGCAGAGAAAGGAGCAAAGTGCTGGGGGTGGGAAAGGGAGGGAGAAGGGCAGGTAGTGAGGGTTTACAGACAACGGACGGAGGGACACAGAGAACAAAGGTGCGCCCAGGAACAGCAGGGTTGGCTGGGCTCCCGTTCTCACTGTCTGAATTGTCATCGGCATCACCTTGGAGAGGGTTCCCGAGTTATAGCAGGAAGGCTGGTCCCCTAGAAAAAGACGGCATCTGCCACCCTCCTGCTCACCTTCCTTTTCACTTACTCTAGAGATCTTTAGGGGCCAGGCTGGAGCCCAGCAAGGCAGCGCTGCCAGGGAGGGTGTTCATAATTAGGATTTGGGGCAGATGGGGTTGGGCAGAACGTAGCAGCCTTTCAACACAGCCCCGTGCACAGTTGACCTGGAGGGGTGGCAGACTAAAGGTGTTAACAAGGTAAAGGGCCCCAAAGCAGCCCAGCCCCCTCTTGGCAAGAGCATTTCCAGGCCAGTTCTGTATGCCAAGCTCAAAGCACCAACACTGCACTATCTTATGACTAATGGGACCTAGTAAAAACGGGTAATTAACTTAATGGGTTGCCACAATGCCTAGAGGAAATCGGATACTGCATGCCCCGGATATAGTCTCTCTCCAACTAGATCATTAACTCCCCAAGAGCAGAGCTGGGCTTGTACTTCCATTCCTTCCTTCCCTGCCCATGGTCCACCCTGCCTCCCTCTGTTCTCAGGGCCAGCACAGGGTGCTCTGTCTTCAGTCTTTAATAGACAGCTCTGGCTGATGATGGCAGTTTTGGCATGAACTGCCCTCATTGAACCTAGAAAGTAAATAAACTGGACCAGTTTCACACAAGGTGTGCCCACAGGGGAGAGACATGACTGAATGTCACACTTCAGCTTGACGGTAGTCATTGCTTCTACCGCTCACGTGAAACTCTAGAGACCCCAGAGGACAAGCTGATAAGACAGGTTAAAAAATTGCCTTGCTCAAAATATCATATTTCCAGACAGGCATGGTAGTACATGCCTGTAATCCTAGCAGCTCGGGAGGCTGAGGCAGGAGGATCCCAAGTTCAAAGCCAGCCTCACCAACTTAGCGAGGCCCTAAGCAACTCAGCGAGATCCTGTCTCTAAATAAAATATAAAAAAGGGCTGGGGATGTGGCTCAGGGATTAAAGACTTCTGGGTTCAATCCCCAGTATCCGCCCCCTGCCAAAAAACCTATATTTTAAGCACCTGTTAGCTGTGCTCAAAGCACATGCTCCATCAAGCACCAGCACTCCATGAACTTAAGAGCTTTAAGTGGACAGATCATTCAATCCACACAAGATCCTGGGGAAGGTTTGTCCTCAGTTTATAAATGGGGATGCTAATGCTCAGGGAGGTTATGTGATATACCCAGTATCAGGAGATAACAAGTGACAGACTGGAGAAGTAAATTTGGCTCCCATCTCTTGGGCCCCAACCTTTGGCCACCAGCCTCTAGAATCTCCCTCAACCAGGGACTGCTCGTCCATGTCAGAACGTATTTTTCCAGGAGGAGTAACCTAAAAATCCCTATTTGAAAATAAGGAACTAAAGCTTTCACATATTTATGCTTCCAGGAAAGGCATTAATTTCTGGATTGGAACATTTTTGTCTGGCTTTGCACAATATTCAGTACCAGAAACTGCTGGAAACACCAAATCACCACGGAAGTTCGTTTGCCATCATTAGCTTGTCTCACGGGGTCAGAACTGCACTCTGACAGTTAGGAAAAGATTCCCCAAATATAAAAGCACAGTGACAAATGTAAACATTAAGTGCCATCAAAATAATAAGATGAACTCAAGCCAGCAGCATGTCAGAGCTAGACTGAAACCTGGAAGTCCTCCAGTGCAAACACCACTTGGTAAGTCGGAGCTCTCCGCGTTCTAACAGATCTGCCCCACGTCCCATGAGAGCTGTGCATCTTTAACCCCCCCCACCAACACACACACACACACAAACACACACACTCATACCCAGTGCCAGGACCACACGAGAGGCCGTTTGGAGTACCCTGGCTGGACTGCCCTCTCTGTCGCCTCTTCTGACAGTTTCAAGTTCTGCTTTGGGTCCTAAGATCATCCCGAAGCCTGAACAGCCTGGGCTCCTCTGGTTTCCCCCGGAAACCCTGCAGGTCAGAATTTCACACCGGCCTCAACTTCATCTGCTGTTGGCTCCCTGGGTTCCCTGGACTACACTACAGATGCCAAGTCCCTGTCCCCGGCACCCCACCTGGGCCACAGTCCAGTACGGCTGGCTTCTCTGCTGAGCATGTTGCAGCCTTTTGGTGAGCGGAAGGTGGGTTTGCCAGAAAACTGGAGATAATTTGCAGAAGTCTATTAAAGCCTTAGTTACCAATTTCGTTTAAACCAATAGTGTTACTGTCCTTCCTGAAAGAGTCAGGTAACTGGTTTTGTTTGAATCCTGTTCCTAGCAGTGTGGTCCGTAGTGGTGTTTGGTTTGGATGTGATTTGTACCCCAAGGGTTCATATATTGGAGACCTGATCCTTCATGTGGAGGTGCTGAGAGGTGGTGGGACCTTTAAGAGGTAGGGCCATGAGGGAGAGCCTCAGGTCAACTGCACACATGTCCTCAGAAGAGATTGAGGGACTCCTCTCTCTCTCTGGCTTCCTCTTTTTTGCTATAATTTCTCTTCCCATAAGGGCTTCCCATCATTGCCATCTGCCATGAGGTGATGCAGCCAAAGGGATTCCTTGCAAGAGACTGCACCATGCTATTGGACTTTTAGCCTCCAAAAATGAGAGCTAATAACACTTTTTTTTTCATTATAAAGTTAGTCTGCTTCAGGTACTTTGTTATAGTAATGAAAAGAGGACTAATACACATGAAAACAGAGCATGAAGGTAGAAGGCAGAGAAGTTTCACACATAAAAAAATTCACTTGATGCCAATGAATACTGAGCAATAAGCGGAATAGTTCATAATATATTTTTAATATTTTATTAGTTGTTGAAGAATTTTAAAATTTTATTTATTCCTTGATATGTGGTGCTGAGAATTGAACCCCATGCCTCACACATGCTAGGCAAGTGCTCTACTACTGAGCCACAATCCCAGCCAACAGATCATAATTTCAAGTGCACTTACATTCTCCAATATATTGCTATGAGTATGTACGAATGTTACAAAAATCCTACTATTATGTATAATTATAATATACTAATAAAAATTAATATAAAGTAAAAAGGAGGAAAAAAAACATGCATAGTTCCTAGATTGATAACATAAGAACAGCAATTTTTTCTTCTCAAACCTGTCTCCAAAATGTGAAGAGTGGTTCACAATGCGTAAATCATCAAGTAAAATTGCAAAGCTAATCATCCTCAAATTTAACACAAACTTGATCTTCAAAATAAAGTACGTTCTTGAGCTGAGCAACGACTGAGACCTTCCTGTGTGGGGGGACTGCAGAGGATGCAGGGGAAATAGAGGATACGGACGTAAGGCATGGGTTCTGACAGGAAGGACCTCAGGGTCTGCAGAGAGAAGATGTCCATGTGAAGAACTCAATCCTGCGTGTCGAGTGCCCCAAGGACATTCATAGGAGATGCTAGAGGAGTGAGGGGAAGGTGAGGTCAGTGCTGATTTGCAGGATTGTGAAAGAGCTCAACAAATGGGGAATACCAGCCAAAAGACCCGCTGCTATGACTTGGATGAATATGCCAAAAGGTCCACATGTATAGGCTTGGTCCCTGGGGTGGGGGTTTTGGGGATGCTGTGGACCTTTAAGAGGTGGGGCCTGTTGGAGAGGTCATCAAAAGCAGGCAATGGGATTGTGGCACGCCAGTCTTTTTCTCTATGTTTCCTGCCTTGAGATGTGAACATTGGCTCCAACATGTGCTCTTGCCGTAGCATGCTGCCCTTGCCAGAGGCTCAGACCCGTGGGCTGCCTGACCTTGGACTTGAACCTCAAGATAAATGACCCCAAATAAATCTCTCTCTTCTCTATAGTAGCCTGTCAGATAGTAATGCAAAGCTGTCTAATAAAACCAGTGAAATTCATTACCAATATGGAGAAAAGAATGTGTGAGGATGGGATAAACATCAACAATGTGAGAACAAACCTGAATTAACCCAGAGAGAAAAAAATGCAGCCCACAGTAGCTTGATGTCATGTATGTATCATCTCAACCCTCGTGACAACACTGTAAGGTAGGGACAGTTATTATCATCATTATAGAGGACAGGAACCCAGAGCTCAGAGTGGATAAGGAAATGCTAATCGTAACAGAGGAACAGTGCCAGAATCTGGACCCAGTACTGTCTGATACAGCTCTTAACCACCACATCACAGTGTCCTGTGACAAGACGAAGATATAGAGATAATTAAATGAGATAACCTATGAAAACTACCCAACACTATCATCCAGCATTTGATGAGTTCTTGACACTATTATTATAGTGATAAGAAGATTATGCAAGAGCTTACTCTTCCAAGTATAAAAAGAATTCGTACAAGCATATAAAAGCAATATACCAGGTTCAGACCATAAATTATCAACATGCAAAACATGACCTCACTAGATATTTGAAAAATTCAAATTTAAAAAAAAATTATATTTTTTTACATTATCCATCATCCTAACAAAAGTAAATAAAAAAGATAAATCCCCAAATTGTCAGGAGCTGTAAAAAGAAAAATCATACTTATGAGAGCACATTAACAATAAATTAAGAAAAAATGTACATTTGATTGGGTATATTTCCATTTTCAGGAACCTGCTTAAAGGAAGTAGGTTTTTCTGACAAAAAATTATACAATGATTGCTCACAGCATCATTGTGGTTCCCACCCACCCCCCGCACCCACTGTTTATTATATGGAGAAAACTTGGTAACTTTCTCAAATGTCCCCAAAACAGGGAAATGGATAAAAATAATCACACATTAAAGACATAGAATACTATGGAATCATTAAATATGAG